AAGTTTTTTTAAAGTTAGCGGGCGGGTGAGGAGGGTTGAAACAAACAATTTTAATTTTAGGCCTAATTTTGGAGTGATCAAGCAACTCCCATCGAAGTTCACTGCAGGAGTCTCTTTACAGCATTTCTAGGTACGGTGCTTCTAAGCATTTTTCCAAAATGGTCTCCATAATAGTAGGCCCTGTCAAAGTCATCCTGTTCATCAAGTAGGCCTACGGATGTTATCTGGGTTCCCTGTTTTTTACTTCATCATTATGTGTTGTGTCGTCCTTAAACCTGCGATCTAGATATAAGCATTCCTAGATATTTATAATGATCAACCTCAAAAATACAATAATTTCCTCATTTACTTTGTGAAGTTCAGTACTACTTACAGCCAAATAAGTTTCCATTTTTTTAGAATAACATCTAATGCTAAATTATATTGAATTAAAATAATGGATTTTTGGATAAGATGCTGAGTGGGTGACTGAGCATAAATTGCAGGAGGCGGAAGCATGAGAATCCAAATTTTCGGAGTAGCATTTGGAAATCTTTTGAGCGGCAACTCCGAAGAAGTAATGTTGTTCCGTTGGAACATGTATCAAAGGTTTAAATTTATCCAAAAAAATCGTGAATTATAGTGCGCTCAGTTACATCAGTTCTCTTCAGAGACTATATTATATATTTAAATTAATGGTTTTGTGATTGGCTGCCATGGGCAGGATTCAAATATTATGATCAACAAACTGTTTGCACATGTATATACTTATATGCTCTAAACTTCCTATATGTGTGTCTCCACCTTTCACTACTGTTCCTTGACCATTTATGTTTATGGACTGGACACACCCATCCAATATTTGTTTGCTGTCTGTTCCCACGTGTACACCCTCAAAACTATAGGCCACCACTTTTGTTATGCAGCACCAGCACTTGAATTCACTGCCTACACAATATCAAGAGGCTTCACACTGAGAATTTGCTCAGCAAAATCTAGTACTAACAGCAACAAGTATCAGGACAGTGAAAAAAACAAATAAATTACAAAAACCAAAAGGTGCACTGTGTTCAAACAAAATAAAATGAAAGTGACTCCAAAGAGAGACAATGAGGCCATATTAACATATTAATGTTTCAACTTTATTTCATCAGGAATTATCCATGATATTAAAAAAAAAACCAAGTTGTTTAATTTTAATAGAGACAAACTATCTTACCACAGTATTATTTTCCTTAATATGGAAGAATAATACATATACAGTACTCATCGGATTTTAGCACATACAGTACATCTGGAATTTCATACCGTATATTTTACAGTCTTTGACAACGAAGATTTAATTGAGTTGAAATGAATTTACAACAGGTAAATTAAATATACAGCAGGAATTGAACAAATCCATTACATTTTTAAAATAGTTAATTTTAAGAATTGTATTGAAAAACCTTGCAAAAATTATAATCATATTCTTGATGTCTTGAGAAAGACATGCATTTATTTATACATGCCTTGACCATTTCTCTAACTAGGAACCTCTTAAGTACAGTGCCCCTAATACTACTTCATGAAATGCCTAGCAACTGGAAACTATTGGACACAAGCATATCTACAGTACCGTACTCGCGCGAATAAGCGCCCCGTTTGAATAACCGCCCCTCCTAACGTGAAAATTTCCTTAAGTGCCCCGTTTGAATAAGCGCCCCTCATAAGATTTTCTTTTTAGCAAGTCAATAATCCAATCAATCCTGGGACTGTGGTTGTTGGCATGATTTGAGCTGTAGAGACAGTCAATATCAAAATAAGGATATTTCTCTTGGACAGATAAGAGCTCCGATCCCTGGACAGACAGTATATTTCCAACTTTAATCTTTTTACATATTTGTCAATGTCTAGTCCTACTCCTCCTTTTCTTTTTTCGACCTTAAGCACATTCTCATCTGAGTTTTCAAGAAAAATACAATGATCCTGCCATCCTGCTGATCTCAATCGGACGATGGCCAACAAGCTAACCACTACCCACCACTAATTGCATCTGCTATTTTGCTGTTATGTAAATATTCACGCATTCTTGTTAGGAGCCATGTTCTCTGGACGATTATCTTTTCTAACCACCATTCGTAATGTCCTTATATAATCTTTTTTTCCTTCAAAAAGTGCCTCTTGAATTTTTAATTATTAAAATAATTTCCCATAATAACCCCTCGATTTTCATCTATTTCCATAAGCACCCCCTCAATTTCCACTCTGTTTTCATAAGCGCCCCGTTTGAATAAGCGCCCCTCAGAAAGTGCAAAAAATTTTAAGCGCCCGGACACTTCGCGCGAGTACAGTATATTGAACATGTGCTCGAAATTAACACAATTTCGTTGAGTATTTGGTCAAAAAGCATAATTAAATGGCAGCAAAATGCAACATTTTTACATTATGAAATACTGATCATTTAAATTTTTATAAAATTACAACATTAAAAACATCAAAAGATTACACTAACACAAAATGTACATAAAATATTATTTTAAATACAGACTTAAAAACTAAAATTTATTGCAACATTAAACATTAGGACAATTTCGTTTCACAATTTTGTTGATTATTTTATGAGTATTTGGTCATAAAACGTAATTGTAAGATTAGATGGTAAGGCCCCAAAAAAAAGTTTGTTTGCCCTCCTCCGCCCGCCCCTCACTCACTGAAAAAAATACTTTTTTTTTTAGCTTTTTTCTTTACAAATTAAAAAAAATTTTGAGTGAATTTATCTTTATTTTTTGCCAGATGCCCTACAAATTAGTCTAAAGTTGTTGTCTGATGTAAGATATTGCCATTCTAGGCCTCTGTGGGTTATTTTTTATTCTATTTGATGAGTATTTTAAAAAATAAAAATAAATTTTTTTTTAAACTTTTTCCATCCACCCCTATTTATCATTTTAAAAAAAAGAAGGGCAAACAATTTACTTTATTTGGCCGAAACTTAAATATTGATTAGAACATGTATAGCGCCACCTCTGGTGTGGTGAACACAGCCGGGTCATAGAGGTGTCAGTGTGAGCATACTTTGAGCTGTCTGGAAATATGGTTTAATTTTCCATTATATGATGTATTGAGATTGATAAATGAAGTCATACTGTAACTTGCTAACCTATCATTGTAACTGAATTTTATAAATATTTGAAGAAGTTAAGGTAAGCACTGCTTACACGCCCGATATTTCACATTTACTCCAAATCACAACAGATCCGTCGTCACTGCATGCAACTCCAGTAAACCCGATGAAGAAATGCGGGAAGATGTGTATAAGAGACAGTTAATCAACTTAACAATCCAATTATACTCAATAATTAATTAATAAAGTTATATATACAAGCTCATCAAAATTAACAAATAATTCACAATCCAATTACTTATTTAATGTGTTATATATAAATGATTATCAAAATTATCTAATTGCACATAAAAATCCCAACAAAACACACATAAAAGAAAAAAGCAGATATAAGACACCAACAAAAGAACATACCACAATACAAACAAAAAAGTCAGCTCACAAAAACAGCACCACCAAAGATACATATACATGATCAAGATCAAAGCTATACCTAAAAACTACTGCACTGAAATTTTACTTATTAATCAAAATGTTTACCTATACTTATTGAGAATTTTACCCCAATAATTAAATTTAACAGTTGAATAAACTAATTCATCTCAAACTGTGTAGTCATCACTGCTTTCTCTACAATAATTAAATGGCAGCAAAATGCACTATTTTTACAGTATCAAATATTAATTATATAATTTTTTAAAAATAAAATTACAACATGAAAAGATTACACTATTAAAAGGTAAACACTAACCATAAAAAGTACTATTTTGGAATTTCTTATTATTTTATGCGCATGCTGCGCTCCATAACATAAACAAGGCAGAAATCAGTACTTACCCTAACCTAAAGTGTGCTGGCTGTAAACCTATGTTTAGAAATTCGTAATTTATCACTCTGACATCATTTAATTTATTTATTTATTCGTCTCCAGACAAATTTGACATTGGAAGACACCATGAGTTACTGTGTTTATTTGAGTTTAATGTTTTATTGTTTCAAAGAAGTTTTTTAAGTTAACCTTGGCCCAGGAATGAGAAGCGATATTCGTTAAATTGCGGAGGCGCACACACAGAATGAAGAAGTATGGCGTGCCTCTCATGACTAATTATTGAAGCGATGCCTTGTTATTTTACTTTAATTGATTATTATATGAAACGATGATTGAACCGATTTTTTATCATCCTAGGCAATATTGTTAAAGCTACAGCATACAATTTTAGAAGTATTGCTATACACGTAATTGCCTATATTATTTAAAGGATTGTGTTTATTTGTTTTGTTGTAGACTACTGTCATCGTAATAAAGGTCAAAGTTGTACCGTGTCTTCGTTTCTTATACTGGCTAAGTACATACAATTTAACGAAAAGAGAGAAAACAAGCACGCAAAGTTTAAGATTATATTACTTACTGGGAATGAATTATTGAAAACTAGCATAAAAGTATATACTCAATTATTTTGAATACAAAAGGGGGCTTTCAATTACACGACGACGGTAGGACGTAGAACATAATGTCATCTGCGCATGCGTGAACGTGAAGGTCACCTCGTTGAGTAAATTCTGGAAAGCAAATTTGGCCAAATCTATGTATGCAGAGAACGTAGGACGCCAGGTAGGACGGTCACGCATGAGTGATTCTGTTCTAGAGTCACATCGTCGTACAAATCAAAAGCTCCCTAATGTTAAAACCATTAAACAATTACACTATGAAGTAAAGACGGAATGAAATAAAATTCTTTCTTAATTTTTTTTTTTAACATTTTATAAGAGCTAATTATGAAAAACTTATTCATAGAATTTCCCATGCAAATTTTTAATTTCATATTTACCAGTTATCTAAAAATATAAATAGTTAAAACCATGCTTTTTAGCAAATGCATGCCGCATATGTTTAAGGGAACTATATGCTATCGAGGAAAACTGACAATTTACCAAATTTAGACGATTTAGAAATGGGAAGGCTGAGAAGAACAAAACCTCAGAAATTTCATTTAAACCTCTAAGGTCATTACAGCTAAGGTCAAGTTCACATAATTCAGATTTATTCATTGGCAACTTTATTAAAAACTCTTCGACTGTTTTACCTACTAACCTACATTTGCTCATTTTAAGTTTTTCAAGTTTGGGAGAATTCTTTAGAATTGAAACTAGTAGCATTGAGCTAATATCATGCAAGTCATTGTTACTGATATCAAGTTCACTCAATCCCAAAGTACTTCTGCCTGAAAATCCATCAACAACAGCTTGCAATAACTGAATTGAGATGTTACAACCACTAACATTGAGGCATTCAAGATTTGGAGAAATTGATGATAGTGACACTACATCTGCTCCACTGAGATCACGAAGGTCATTTCCACTAATATTAAGAGAAGTTATTGGCAAAACCACACTTCGACACACTTCTGCAATATGCTTAAAAGCATTCCTTGTAAGTCTGCAATTACTCACCCCAAGAAATTTGAGCTTTGGAAATATTTTTTTCATTAAAGTCACTAATGCTCTATTAACTTTACTCAAGTCATTTTTGCTGAAGTAAAGTCCTGATACTTTTGAAATAACATTATTTTCTGAACACGCCTTCAACATACTTGACAACAAATATCCTGATAGTTGGCAATCATTTAGAGCAAGTACAAGTAAGTCAGGAAAAATAACAAAGAGGGAGGACAGATGATCTTCATTCAAGATAGTAAGGTCCAAGCCACTGAGATTAATCCCATGACAACCAAATGTAATATCTGAACGAAGACTAGTCTGAATAAAGTCTTGTAAATTATCTGTAGAGAGTTTATAATCAGTCCACTTATTAAAGCAAACATCAACAGAAACAATATCTATTAACCTAATGAGAGATGTACTATCAATTACCGATAGGTCATTTCCTTTCAGTTGAAACATGTGTTTGAGTTCTAAACCCCTTTTCTCACATTCATCCATTAAACTTTTGATTATGGAACCTGACAGACTGCACATTTCCATGTTAAGTAAATCCAAATTTGGACAAATTTGAAGAAGAGATGATAATATTGTCCCGTTAACCATAGACATATTAATCCCACACATATTTATGCATGTCAACTTCAAAGTAATTTTAAGATTTTCACATGCCTTGATCAGATCTTGTAAGTTACCGGCATTAAGCTTATAATCAGACCATGTACAATTAGGTTCACTCTTCAATAGCTTAGCGAGGGATGCACCATCAATGTCTGAAAAGTCATTATGCTTAAGGTTAAGCATATTGCCATTCAGCTCCACACCACTCCTTTCACATTCGTTCAATAAATCTTTCACAAATCCACCAGATACACTGCATTCTTGCATGTCAAGATTAATCAGTTTGGGAAAAATTTTAAAAAGACAGGCAAATGCTGTTCCATTAAGTGAGGACATGTTAATTCCACTCAAACTTAAATGTGTCCATCTTATCTTAATACCAGAGCATTCATTGATAAAACTATGTACATTCTTTGCACACAAATGGTAAGAAATCAATGGAACAAACCAATATGCTATCTGCAGCACCTTAACGAGTGACTTGCCGTCAATATTTGACAGGTCATTACCTTCAAGAGAAAGCATATCTTGTGTCAACACCACACTTTCCTTTTCACATTCTAACAGAAAGTCTCTTATCATAGTGCCAGACAGATTACAGTGTTTCATACTTAAAAACTTCAGATTAGGACAAATCTTGAACAGATATGCCAGGAGTGTTCCACTAACTGAAGAAATGTTGATACCGTCCAGACTTACTGTCGTCCACTTAAATACAATACCAAGTCTCTTACATTCTCGTATCAGATCATGAAATTGATTGGAAGTTAGACCAAACTTCTTCCAATTATTGGAAATATCACCATTGATATCAATAATCATTAGTAATTGAGCTAGGGCCGCACCATCAATATCTGAAAGGTTATTACCATCGAGATGGATAATATTCCGTTTCAGTACAATGCCATTCATATTGCAGGCATTCAAGAAATCACTTATTATCTTGCCTGTTAAACCACAACATCTCATATCGAGAGTGGCCAAGTTAGGACAGATCTTAAAAAGACCGGACAATGTTGATCCCCTGACTGAAGAGAGATTAATTTTCCACAAGCAAACATGAGTCCAAATGAAGGAAATACAAGACCTGATACACTCAGATATAAATGCACACAAATTACCTGCATTAAGACTGTATGTAACACCTGATTTTTTAGAACCTATCCACATTAACCATGTTGTGCAAGAGTCATGATCATTATCTATTACCTTAAGAAGCTTAGCAAGGGATGAGCCATCAATGTCTGAAAAGTCATTGTGAAATAAGTTTACAATTTTTAGTTTCAACAGATCATCTGTCCTTTCAAGTTCGTTCATAAGGTCCTTCAAGATATTGCCTGACAGCTTGCACCCAGTTAGTACCAAGGATTTCAGCTTCGGAAAGAGTGTCAATAATTTGGCCAAATCAGCTCCACTAATTGAGGAAAGATCAACATCACTAATATCCAATACAGCGACATTAGGACGAATGTTATGCTCATCACACTTGTGTACAAGGTCTTGCAAATTCTTGTATGTCAACTTATACACATTCCACTTAAAAGGAAAATACGGGAAACTAATTTCCTGAAGTAAAAATGCAAGTGACAGACCATCGATGTCTGAAAGATGATTTTCACAATTTTTCAGGCATTTTTCACCTCTAATAACAGTAAAACAAGAATTATTTACAACAGTGGGAAGTCTAATTTCTTTATGCATATTTTGCTTATATTCAGTCAATAAATCTCTCACATTACTTCCCGACAGGCAACACTTATGCATATCAATGTGAAGCTTAGGAACAACTAGAAGTAAAGAGATAATAGAGGCCATATCAATATCACTCAGATCATTTTCATTTAAATCTAATTTCTTTAAAGCTAACTCATCTCCTGTTTCTATAATTGCATGGATTACTTCATTGACATCTTTACCTGATATGCCACAATTTACAACACTAAGATTAGTAAGCATTGGTGCATAATGTAGTACATGAATCAGGGCTGATGAACTAAGGCTAATAGAATCAAATCCAATGTACTCCATATTGTATTTAAAATTGAATTTTTCAAACTCAACACTAATACCCTGAATAACATCTTGATGGCCATAGATATCAACACATTTGATGAGATATTGGTATAACTCAATAGCAAAAAAGATATGTGCAAGTTTTCTACCAAAATCACAAAATGAAATATTGCTGGACACAGATTTGACCCAACTCTTCACTGCAGTTTCAAACTTGTCTTCAGTGAGTACATGCTGGTGTATTTTTTTAATAAGAAGAAATATATCTTCATCTTCTTTAACTTCCACACTTTGAACACTATGTCGGAGAAAGCCTCTCAGAGATGTGCATACATCCTCAAGAAGTGGCTTAGTATCAGGGATTCTCTTTGTCATGTATTCATCTAATACCAAAAGAACTTGCTCTTCATGTTCTTTCTTTACAAAGTTAAAATATCTAGCTAGAGGACAATACCAACTAGCACTATCTGTAATCCAATGTTTAAGGAATTCACCTGCATCAGCACCTAGGAATCCTATTGCAAACACTTGTGACATGTGCAGATATGGATTTGACCTAATTGTATCTCCTTCATCAATCGAGAAAGATCGAGTTTGTCTGCATATGTAGAACCCTACTAATGACTCTAAAATCAATTTGTGAGGGGTGTTAAAAATCTCACTAAAGTCATCTTCCACAATAGGTTGTTCTTTGTATACAAATCCAAGTTTTATTGCAAGATCTATGGTTTCCTCATCACCTTCCAAATCATTTTTATTTATAGACAACCTATTATTTTGTAAGGATTTAAACATGCATTTACCTAAAATTTCCAGAGCTTTAACATATTTTTTAGAAGCCTCCTCAAATTTACTGATTGGTTTGTCAGTGCCACTGCGGTTCACACACTGATTCAAAATGCATCGGAAAATTTCTTTAAATAGTGTTGGCTTATCCATTGGAATACGCTGATTTTCCTTCCATACTGTACAGATCTTTAGCAACAGCATTGGTGATCGGCACATCTCAAATGCTTCACGATGTCTGCCTCCCCAATTTTTTTTATTTTTCAGGTCAAGATGCAATTCTGTAATTAAGGACTCTCCTAATTCTGGCATTTTAATGTATTTAAAGTGCTTTCTGATATAAAACTTGATTTTACCTGAGCTGAATCCATCCACTTTGACATGGACATCACATTTCTTAACAATCATATCTACATTCTCAGGACGTGATGTTAGTATAACTTGGCTGTTCTCCAATTCCTTTCTTTCAAATAAACTAACTGGGTCTTGAGCGCTTTTTTCCAATTCATCATACCCATCCAGTAACAATACAATCTCATCATCATGTTCCATTAAAAAATCTTCAATCAAACCTGTATCTAACTTTGTTTTTCTATTAAAATCTTTCTTGTTAATTTGTCTAATAATCACATCAACAACATCTTCATCTTTTTTTAAATCTCTGAGATTGACAAGAAATACAATTTTTTCTGGGAAAGGATCATCAATCTTATTAGCCCAATGATACGCAAGATGTTTTAAGAGAGTTGACTTTCCCATCCCGCCTTTACCTTCTACAAAAACTTTACATGATCTCTGAGACTGTATCAAACTAATTAGCTCCTGTAGAGTTGTATCTTTACTGGTATTATGTCCTTTTTTTTGGAGTAGCTCGAGATCTGTGAATACTTCTGCAAGATCAATTTCAGACTCTTGATTCCAGGTTGGAGGTGTCATTTTGTTCAAATACTTATATACTTTTCTCTGCCACTGATCCAAATAATTTCTGATGACCACTTCTGAAAACAAATCAGTAATAATAATATTTATCATTTTTGCTTTCTTGTATTCATAGAATTTAAATTTTAACCCGAGAAATTTCAATTAGGAGGCTTGGTCGGAATAGCAGTCAAAAGCAGGCGCATGGGCGGTTCCCATCTGGGGAGTGTGAAAATTGTAAATGCGGAATCAGTGGTGTAACAAAGGGGCCGAATGTCCCGAGCCAGGCGCTGGGGCCAGGGAACTGAACCCCCCAGCTGCTCCAGTGTTTGTAGCGTTTTGTGATGTATTTTAATGTCTTTTTTGGCACAACCGAGTTCTTTAAGGGGAGCTCTGGGTTTAAATTTCTTATTTTATATAGGTTATTTGTGAAATCATAAGAAGTTATAAAATAAATCCCAACAAAAAAGTTGCAAGTTTATGGGAGTAAAAAAGAAATAAAACTGTACGAGGAAGGTTAGTTGAAATTCAGGCTGAGCATGCTTTTCACTAGCTTGGTAATCTTACAAGAGAATCATTCATATTCATGATCTATCCTGTACAGAGACTCATTAATATTCATGTTACCTTCCTGCCAGTCCTGGCTTCGCGGAATGTCTTTGTGTTGAGTGAGCGAGGGAGTGTTATGTTAAAATACCCCCGTAGGTAATGGTTGTCTCAGTTTTGAGATCTGTTCAATATACTAATGTGCAAACTAAAGAGATAGCCTAGCTCAGGTTAACAACTTGCACTGTGTTGTTTTACAGTCTTGTAAGCCCTACTAATTGTGGCAATAACACACAGATAAGCCCCTACCCTTCAACACCATGCCCTACTCTACAAAATACATCCCCTTTTGTCAGAAAGTTTGTGCATTTTAGACATTGTCATTGGAGTTATACTGTAATTATTTTGACAAATTAATTATAACTCCATGGTTGGACTGGGCCTAACCAATACCGTCCAGTATGAGATTTTTTTTTTTTTTTTTTGATTTTTAAAATCATGTTAACATTTAAAACCTATTAATTCCGATTAGGCTGTTGCTTCTACTACACATTTCCCAAGCACTCTGTTGTGTACTGTATATTTGCCGAGACAGAATTTGAGGCAGAGTCAACGAAATTTGATAATTTCAACGGTCTACCCCTTTTTTCCAATTTTTTCCCCAAGTTTTTAAATATTCAAAAATCTATATCTCATTAACCTCAGTTTTTCTTCAAATTTTAAGAAAAAAAAAAATAAGATGTCTGTATTTCTATCGGCAATAAAAAATAATGTATTTTTTATCTTAATTTTGTCTTTTTTAATTGTGTGTTTCAAAGATTTTCTATATAAATACATTACCAAACAAAGAAAGGAATGTAAACATTTACTGTATGTTTTTGTTTGTTTTGTGTGGGGGCATTCCACATGTATTTCATATAATCAATCATTCTACAATCCTAACATGAAAATCTTAACTAAATACAGTACGATATTTTAACTTGCAATGTAAATTTGCCGTAATAATTTCAATTTCATACATATTTTTAAAATTGTTATTGTACTTTAACCTAAATCCTAAATCCTTTCCGAGCAACTAGGGCTCATAGGGCTGGAGCTTATCCCAGTTCCTGTAGTGTGATGAAACTGATGAGACACTAGTCCGTTGCAGGTTAGTCCCCTGCAATTTTCCGGTACCCATTGATACAGCTGGGTGGGCTGAAGTATTGTAGCTAAAGTGCTTTGCCCAAGGACAGAAGTGAATCTGCAAAGCTGAAATTCAAAACCCCAACCTTTCCATTGAAAGCCCTAACTTCAACCGCTGCGTCAAACTACGCTTATTATTTTAAAAGCCTATTTAATAAGAAAGATAAAGGTAAATAACCGACCTCAATCGATGTTATGCAGTCGTATGCAGTTTTATGTTTTTTATGTTTTAAGTTTCATGAATCATGAATGATTTCTCATAGTCAATAGCATGCGCACTAAAGAACTTCCTAGTTAATTATATCAAATACTCAAAAGATCCATAATTGTATTTATACCTACATTGTTTTTATGGCAGTTTAACTCCCCCATTATGCAACTTAGGGGATCAGAAGCTCAACCTCAGATACAATTTTTGAGTAGTTGTTTGAAATATAAATATATAAAATGAAATGAGACACCAATAAATAAATTCATAATCTTCAAAAAATCTCACCATTGTTTCTAGATGCTGATAAATCTTTGTCCTTCGGTTCTAAGAAGATAATTAAAACTGTACATGCTAATTTCGAATTTATTTTCTTTGTTAACAGCAAATGAGTCATATAAATAGAACTGATGTTCTATAAACATAAATTAGTCTAATTCTAATGTTTCTGGAGTGGAGTCTGGCAATTTGCAAATTTTAACCAAAAGACCTTGAAATACGTGGTAAGTATCTTTACCACCAACATAAAACTTCGCAATACATTTACACATTTACAGTACATGCTATAAACATCTAGTTTTAAGTATTTTTTCAAAAAATTTATAACATAATATATTATAAAAAATATCAATATGCACAATCTATCACAGAAAAAAGTAGTTCAAACTATACCTTGATTCACTGTAATTGTGTTGTTAACAACAAGTGTTTCAACATTACAACCTATGATCTGACTTCCTATTATTGAACCTAAAATGAAAGAATTCATTATAATTGGAAAGGTAAGCATATTGCCCTCAATCAACAATATGTGTGAGTATGAATACATTTTTGGGTCAAAACATGGCATAGGGACCAACTGGGGTATGGAGGCTCTCACTTACCCCCCTTTCCCACATTCACGATTTTTGCTACGAGGGAGCACGATTTTAAAAAGTTTTAAAATCGCGCTCTATCGTAGTGATTCGTACTCAAAAAGTTTTACGTTTCATCAAGACTCTACTAGGACGTCGCAAAGATGTATTACGGTACTAATGCGATAGTGCGACGACATTTTTACGAATTATAACGATAGAGTTACGATTTGTGACGACATACTACGAATTACCAAAATTTTAATTCGATGTCACTACGATTTTACAAAGACGCAAGCACAACGTTAGAACGATTTAACAAGATGCACATCATAAAAACAAACATCACATGACATGACAAAAAAGCGCACTGTTCAAACACCATCAATATTTGCAAGGTGCTGCTATAGAAGAATAAAATTTGTTGGCTGCTACAGTTTTGATAATCAAGAGTAAGCATCGGTCACGTCGAATGCATAGGCCTAAACGAAGTGTATGGGTACAGCCATGGCTCTTACGTCGTCCATATTTTAGACAGTATGAACCCTTACTAGTTAGAGTTAAATAGAGAAAACCCAGAGGCTTCAGAAACTTCCTCCGAATTGTTCAGTGTGTTGAAAAACTTTTCTGACACAGAGCCACATGATATAAACCACGGTCTTGATGGTATCCTGATGGCATCGTATCTAATTGTCTCAGCACCGCAGCGACGTCTTGGCTTGTCGTAGGTGTTGTTGGTAGTACGAATGGAGAAGACACAGTCACGACAAACGTTACGCCACTCACACGATGCCGCTGCGGTAAACCAAGATCTTATTCAGGGCTACGATTGAGCACGATCTTTTTGAACATTCCAAAAAAATCATGCTCCATCACGATGACATCAAGATCCAGTACGATGCAATACGATGAATTATTTTTAACCACGACATTTACGACGACGCCAATGCGATTTTTCAAAATTGAAAAATCGTGCTCTGTCGTAGCAAAAATCGTGAATGTGGGAAAGGGGCATTACAACTCCTAACAGAGTCAAAGCTAAGGGCAGGTGGGATTGTAACTTTCTATTACTGGTTAAAATGTAAAGATTTAAGATTCGATTTTAAGTTTTGAAAATAACAAATTTTATATTCAGTACATTTTCCAATTTGTGTGGGGAGGAGTGCATGCTGTACATATCTACACCCAATTTATTTATTTATTTGCTGTCTTTTAACTAAGCCTGAACAGCTTCGCTCGGAATCAACAGACAACCTAGTTTACCTATCGCACCCTCCTGGGTTACGCTACGTTGGAATCTATACATCTCTTAAAACAGAAGAATATCATCGGACCGGTCATGTCATAAACGTTCAGGTTGGAGTATGGTAATAGATTTAGGATTCTTTCATATATATTTCAAATTTGAAACCAGATAGATTGTTTTAACAGAAATAGATGAGAAATTCAACAGCATCAAAATAAGAAAAGATTTAGTTATTTTTTTTACCTTTATTGTCTTGACTAATTATTTTATTCACTATGCAAGCTCCTGCTGAAAAATATAAGTAGTTTAAATTGAATTATAAGCAAAACATTTATTAGTAGAAATAAACATCTGCAGCCACAGTGCAGACACGATGTATTCAGTCTCTAACCTAACAAATATGTCAATTAAAAACTGACAATGCCACCTGAAGCTTATATTTATGCCAACTGCAGTGCGACCAAATGTCAGTGGGTAGTAATGCAACAGTGGCAGATAAAATTTTTAAAATTTCTTGCCTTTTTGCACTGAACAGAATTAAACCATTGTATTGGTTATTGGTTCCATATAGTCTGAGGCGTCTAGTCCCTCCTTCTGTAACTCCCAACTGTAACGTTTTTTGTATGGGGTATTGTATTACAATAACTACCCTCTGTGATCTAATATTACCTAATTCTAATACCCAAAGTATGTGATTTGTATATTCATTAAAGGATTTGTAGAAAGAAAGAAGGTAAAAAATACTGGAGAGGTTATGATCCATTGTCACTCCAAGAAATGGCTAATTTTTAATGAAATTTTATCAATAAAATGTATTTCAGCATACAGGACATGCATGTCATCAGGTAATGTCATTTTATATTACCTGTTATGTACATCATTCTCAACATATTCTATTAATGTTTCACTACAGTAGAATTACATTTTTTCTAACCGGGTGCTGGGATCAATGAGTCTTCATGATCACAAATAACACATTTTGACGGTAATGATGTTGCAGTTCCACTTTTACAGTGAAATTAAACAGCATTTGAGTATGTATCCATTTTACAACCAAAAAATATATGCCTCCCTCAAATAAATGCCTTTATTTCTAATACTGGAAGTGCTTGACTTGAGAGAAGTGATAGGGATTGTGCATTCATAGGATGTGTAGAATATAGAAATGATTAGTTTTTTATACATAAAATTCTATCAATGAACAAGACAACTGAAGTTAGCAAGTAATGAAATTTTATATTACCTGTAGATGCACTTGTACAAGCATTTGTTGTAGCATCTGTGTCATCAGACACCATACGATTCTCTTGGCTCTCTGAAACATGCACTGAAATTGTAATCATTTTATATGTTGTTTGTATTTAAAAGATAGTAAACCACCTGCATTTCACATTATAACATGTGTTTATGTGTTATAAACACATTTTATGTTGATCTTTTGTATTTAAGTAAACCATCTGCATTTTATATTACCTGTAGATGCACTTGTACGAAGATTTCTTGGAGCATTTGTGTCGTCAGTCACCAAAAGCTTCTTTTGGCTCTCTGAAACACAACACAAGTGATTGTAATAATTTTAAATGTTGTTTTGTATTAAATATAGTAAACCACTTGCATTTTATATTATAAGACAACACATTTTATGTTTTGCATTTAAGATAAGCCATCTGCATTTATATTACCTGTGGATGTACTTGTACAAGCATTTCTTGCAGCATCTGTGTCATCAGTCACCATAGGCTTCTCTTGGTTCTCTGAAATATAACACACATCATAGATTCTAATTGTTTATGTTGTATTAATTACAACTATCCAGAATTTAAGCTAACAAAATGGTTTTTAATTGAATAACAAATTTTATTTCCAATTTTACAGAGACAAATTATGTAATTGCAGACACCTTTTTGCTTGTACTCAATATATATTAACATTTTCTTATCAGTATAGCAATGCTTTGCTTCATTAGGAGTTAACAATTTATTTGACCCATTATTTATTTATTATTATTTAGTAGTAGTACCTTTTAACAAATCAAGTTTTTAATTTTTCCACTTTTTAAAATCTCCCTTTTAATAAAAAATATTAATTAGAAATACTCTCCTTTATATGAACTTTATACATCAGTTTATGCTTCTTTTCTGCTAAAGGGCATCTTTTAAAATAAATTAATCAAACGGTGTCAAAGTTATGAAGCTCTCCAATAATAATAAGGAACCCATTTTTAAAAATAACAATAAGGGCTTCTTTTAAAAGCCTTCCATCTTTTAAAATAAATTAATCAAATGGTGTAAAAGTAAAGCTGTCAAATAATAATAAACAAATTTTTAAAAATAAAAAATGTAAGGTCATACAGCTAATAATGCTTACCTGCAGAGGTTTTTGAGCTATCATCTTTTGTAGCAGCATCACCAGTGCCTCTCAATCCTAGAGGATCTTTACGTGAAACTAATATATTGTATGTGGTTATATTTTTCATGAAGTCATCCAAATTTTCTTCACAAAACACCTTTTTTTGTTCCAAGTCCACAAAGAATTTCCAAATGTCTTCCTTTTGTGGACAATTGTATCTTTGTGAAATATACTCCAGATCATTTTCAACGAGACTTTCAATCACTTGGATCAGAATTTGTCTGTTACGAGTAATATTGGAGATTTTGGCTGTCCTAATATCAAAGCATGTTGACGACAACTTCCAGAATTCTGGTTCCAAACCAAATGGATGAGTTATATTGATAGTATCGTATAGGACAGTTAGATTATTGGAACTTAGATGTCCCGAGGTAATTAATAACTCAAACAACTGAATCACCTTAGTGGCAGCATACAGCTTATCAAGTTCTGATACAAGATCTCTGTACAAAACTTTCAACTTGTTGATGTATCCATGGCGATCATACCACCTTGACATGGATGATAGTATTTCTTTGAAGTTTGTATCATCAGATATTCCTACAAAAAAAATGAAATTATTTGAGGAAATATTAGCAAAAGTGAGGACAGCTATTAACCTTTGCATTCCTTCAATGTGTAAAATGGGCTATGCTAAATGACAGAATGCATCATTCAAGATTGGCACACCTGTTCCTTGTACAAAGCTACATCATCTTTTCAGTGCCAAAGCATCCTTAGGATGAAATTGTCATTACTCAGCATACACAGCCAAGTACAGTACAGTACGTGCACATGGGTGCAACACTGACCACAGTGCTGTTTTGACAATGGTGCCTCATTCTGCACTCAAAATGCTGCCTATATACAAGTACTATCTGTCTATTAATTTTTCTAGATCCCTTTTTGTATATTCATATAGATAGGCCTATGCATATAAAATTTTATAATGCATACATAATGAGTACCTACTTCATATGATATCACTATTAATTACTTTGAAAGAAATTAAACCAAGGACTAAAAGTCTGAAAGGATAAATGAAGGTTTCAAATGTTACCTTGGTTGTAATCCATGTTTTCTCATTAACACTTTCAATGTTTGAGAGTTTTGTGATGCAAAACACTTCAGCCTCAGCTGCTATTTGTAATCGTCTTCTATATTTTTATACCTGAATAATAAAGTAGAAAAATTAGATATAATGAATGAATGTGAATTATAAAAATATAAATTAAAGTAGAAATCTTAACCAAACCCACTGTTAATTATCCTGTACTACAACCAGGCAATAAAAAATGCCTTTTTTTAAGCAGTTGAATGATATGGAGGAGCATACACTTTTTCAAATCTAACAAATTTCATTATTATTGGATTTTTTTAAAGTAAAACCATCCACAAAACATTAGATAAAACCTAAAGGGTAACAATAATCAGCTGACAATGTAATAGGCAAAAAGAAAGGTCCTAACGTTGTGAGTGGAGTAATTGAGCAATCCAAGTGTATAGGGTTATACAGTAACTTTTAAGAAATTCATAATTTGACTTCTTCACATCTCCAAGACTATGTGACAAGATGAAGAAAGAAATCACATCCATCTTTCACTCCTTCGACCTCCGCATTACTATACAAGCAAATATAAAGATCACAAACTTCCTTGATGTCACATTCAATCTGACTAACGGATCCTATGCTCCATTCACCAAACCAGACAACAAATTACTATACGTGGATAAATGATCAAACCACCCTTCATCCATCTTAAAGCAAATCCCCTCTTCAATCAATAAAAGAATATCAAGCAACTCCGATTCAGAAGCAACTTTTCAAAAGGCCACCCACGACTACCAAAAAGCACTAAAGGGAGAGCGGATTTCAAACAACTCAAAAGCCAGAAGAAAAAGGAACATCATATGGTACAACCCACCTTTCAGCAAAAACGTCAAAACAAACATCGGCAGAACTTTCCTTAACCTGGTCAAAGAGCACTTCCCCAAAGACAGCACCTTGCACAAATTGTTCAACAAGAACAACGTAAAAGTTAGCTACAGTTGCACAAGAAACATGGGCAGCACCATCAAAGCCCACAGCAACCACCTTCTCCACACCAAACAACAAGTACCAACCAAATTATGCAACTGTCGGATTAAAGAAGATTGCCCACTCTCGGGAAACTGCCTCACCTCCTCAATTATTTAACATCTAGATGTGTATAAGAGACAAATACAGGGGGAGTCTTTATGGCCCAGAATAGTGATTTTAGACCACATTGGTAATGTAATTCAACATGCAAATTACAGTAATATTTTTAGCAAATTTCTTTGAAAAAATTTTGTAGGCATAGGGCCTAGCTAGGTATACAGTAATTTCATTTTACAGTAGTTTGGAAAGATATCAGGAGTGGGGGGGTGGTGGCAGTGGCCTACTAGGACTACAATTTATTTGAAGCTATCTTGGGTCCGATCGTCCACACCAGTTAAGCCCAATCATCTGTCGCCCAAAGTTTTCATTACGATGATTAAGAACGTATACTATCTAGGCCCTAGGCTAGGCTTAGATTGCTGCCGTCACTCTGCTACGTATACTACTACCGCATAACAAAGAAAGCGACCCACACGGTGCATTCTTAAATTTTACACACATTATTAAAATGAGACGATAACATGATATCACTGACTGAACGACCTACCACCCTCGATTCGCAGTAACTACTGTACTGAACTAGGCCTAGCTTAGGCTCTTGTTTTTGTGGAAAGTTAGACAGTTGTTATGTACCCGACAGTCGGCTGCCTTTATATCTTCACTTGTCTTCAATTTGTATTCAAAGGGTACATTGCTGCATAGCCAACTGTCGGGGATATAGTACCTTCATATGACTTCTCATCTGCTTCTCATACAACAGAAAAAAACGTCGCAAGGAGTTAGTGATAAATGGAGATCTAAATGAAAAAACGATGTATTTTAGCAAGTATTAAAACCTTTTTGTTTTATTTTAGGCCTTCTTCAAAATACCTATGCCACAGCAGTTGATTTTTTTTGCCGTAAAACCAAAATAGTTTCATTTTGCCGATCGGTTAGCGTGAGCCCCGACTGAACTCTGCAGAAACTTCACATCGAACTTCGCATCGCGAGGTAAAACAAAATGTCGGAAAACTTTTCTTTGACGGATGCGCATTTGCATAAATGTCTACATACACACGCACATACATACTACACACAATAAAAAACAAAGGAAAAATGAAGAGTGATTACAAAAGTTCCTATTGCATTACATGCATAGGAACTAAAAATGTATATTTCTTTAACCATTCCATTTTACATTCACCAATCAAATTCTATTTTTATTTTCTCCTCTATCTGCATGTTTTTGGCAAATCTATTTGCTATTTATTATTTGCTAAATAACAAAATTTTATTTTTATTCCGCCCTCCTCCGATGATCTTTAAAAAAATAAGGACGCAAAACAAGGAATAAAAAAAGTCTCATCTATGGACTTTTCTGGAGTGTTGTTAGTTTTAACAACTACCAATCAAAAGGAGGCTCTTAAAGAATCCCTGCTTGTTCACTGTCGTTTTGTAAGACCTTGGCAATAAAAACCAAAGGGTGGGTCTTAACAGATCCATGCCAAACATTAAAGAAGTGGTAAACAATCGAGCTCTCCTTTCGCCAACTGCTGTATCGCCACTGAACTCATGGGTGCACTCCCTTTTTAGCTCCTTTAACTCAAATTTGTCACCCTCTTTTTATTTTGCAGCTTGAATGACCAGGGGTTGGGGGACTGGCCCTCATGGCCCCCCCCCCCAGCTGGATCCGCGCCTGCGCAACATAAGGTTTTTAGGGTTTGAAAAATACTAAAATCGCTAAATAGGGTTTCATATTAAGGACATTAAGAATGTGTTTAGGGTCCCCGTGTGTCAGACAGCGTCGGCCTGGCCAACGCAGTACGGACTGGAGTCGGATGAGCATCAAGTTGGCATCTGCACGTCTCACACACATTTGGACAAATTAATCAACTGACTTACGTCCAGGTCACAATTCAACAGTTTTTTCCTCTTCCACCAAGTTGGTCTATTTCCAATACAGTACTTTGTTGGGGGTAAGATTTGAAATATATTATTACCATAGTTGCCAACTTATACGGATTGACCGCGAGACTCACAGATAATTTATCATTTATTAGTTTTACTATGGATGAACAAAAACTCACGGATTTCAAGGTTACTCATGGATCAAGATTTTTAAACTAATAAACAATGATTTTTTGCGAACTGCATATACAGTAATATGCAATAAATAGATCATTTGCCATTCGTCTGTAGTGTTTAGTGTAGCAAAGAGTAACCCTAGGTTGTGTGTAAGCCCAGTACGCTCGATGTTAGAATCGTAAACAAACGACGGCCTTTACACCCGCTACCGTCAGTGTGCTTTTATTACCCCGTAATGCACCGCGCATGGTTTGTTTGTTTGTTTATCTGTTTTCCACATGAAAGTACTGTCTGTACATCGTGATTCATGAATAATAAAGTGAGTTCGTAAAAATTGTTTTAATTTTACACCAAGCAACTGTCGGGTACTCATTCTAAGTTTACAGTACTGTACTTTGGTCAACTTTTTGGTTTTTTTAGGTTTACATCATACATACACTTGACTTAATTTAGTGTCCAAGATCAATCAAATCAGTGTCAGTAGTGAAAATGCTCAAATTGCGCGAACGTCAAAGGCTTGTCAACTTTGGCCCCCGGGGCCCCTCCCTCAGTTAGGTACCACATGATAAATACAAAGTTGCATATTAAAAAAAAAAAAATAGCACAAAAAACTACTTATTCTCAGTATCATAAAAAACTTTATTTGAGGAAAATTTTTATAAACATTTGAAGTTTATGAGCGCGTGAATAGCAAGTTGCATGTTAACAATAATATTTGTCACTTTTTGCCATATATTTCTGTTAATTTTTGTAAATGCTAAAAAATAGTGTACATTTTAATTGTCATTTTTTACTGCAAATTACATTGGTCAATTTATAAAATAAATTTTTCAGATGACCTTTGACCCACAATTCTGAAAATAGAATTAAAACTATCCCTCACCCCCCCCCCAACTTGTGAAAAATGACGAATTTCATTGGCCGTTACGCATGATGTCATCCTCTTGCAACAAAAACTAGCATCGTCTCAAAATTCTATCGAAATCATCCTATGTTTAATATCCACTTCAATCCTTAAATATTTTTTTAGATAATCATTAGCTAAAAGTATATTTTAATACTTTAAGTATCATTTAGTTAACTTTTTGAACTCATATTTATTTTATTTCCATGAAAAATATTGCCGTTTATATGCAGTACTTTCGTTAAGATCGTTATGGTATACCTCGTGTACACGATGGCCGATCAACAGCTGATCGTCGGTTTTGCGGTGCCAAAAAAAAATATTGCTATGACTCGTATTACATTCATATTTGGCAAATAAACTCTTAGATATATAAAATAATCTTCGTTATTAAAAAATTGAACTTCATTACTCGCAATTCTCTGGAAAAAAACCAAGAATTTTAATGAAATTTTCAAAAGTTGATAAATTCGATAAAATGGTGTACTACTTCGACCCCTGATTGACCTGATGGAAACGTCTCAACCAATCAAAAAGCATTTTATTTTTATATGAATATTTTCTTAAGGCCTTTTGTTGACAAAAACACGCTTGGCTGAACTTGGCTAATGACACTAAATGAAGTGCATGACGTCACGCATTGTGTGGTGCCTACCTCAGTCCCCGGGCATCTCCATCTTTCCCCTCCCTCTGGCGCTTGGGGCCCTCCCTCTGTCCCCTCCCTCTGTCCCCCTCCCTCTGTTCCCCCTTGATTCCTCCTCCTTCTCCCCCACCCCCAGCCAGTGGCACGTTGCTACGCAACGGATTTCTTTTGTGAAAGTTGGCAACTATACGACCTCTGTCTCTGAGCCTAGGCCTAGATAGCCTAGCCTTGGGCCAGGCAATCCAAACACAGACTTGCTTGGATGGTAGGCCTAGCTAGGTCCGGAGATGCAGGTCTAGGCCTAGGCCCTAGTAGTAGGGCCTAGCCTAGCTAGGGGGAAGGGGAAGGAGGCCTGGTCTGCAGGTTATTTTTTTCCGAATTGATATAAGTATGCATACCCTCGATAAAAAAAGGCAATATTTGTACAGTTACGGTAACTATTATAAAAATCACAATAGTGTCTGTAGAAGGATTTACGTAGCCTACCTGTCTTCGGCACATGGATTGATCGGGTTTCTTGAATGCCAGATCAGGGTTGCCAGATAGTCGACAGCCTTCACGGCCAAACACACGCCATCTCACGGCCAAATTCGGCCAAACTTTTTTTCGATATCGGCCAAAATTCGGCCAGATTTTAATCCGATTACTAGACAACAGTGGGTACATTCATTTGAAATACTACGAAAATCAGCGGTCATTCGTTTGAAATTCAAATGATATACACAGAACAATGTTAAAAATAAATAGCCTATGTTCTTTAGCTGCTGGCATGCAGGCCAATTCAGGAGCAAATCCAGAGATGTCCGAAAGGGTGAGGGCCGGGGCCGAAAAAAGGGGAGGAGGAGGGGGACGAAAGTGGGTCCGATCGAGATAACACCATCTTAGAAGAAATTTGTCCTTCTAGACGCCCGAAAATAGCCTAATGCGTTTGGGCGATCAATTTTTTTTTTCTTTTTTTTTTATCACCCTTAAACCCACCTCTGCTCTTTAAAACCACAATATTAAGATTGATCTAAACTTGATTCAAATGTATTAAATATTAATTTACATTGTAGTCGATCTATAGCAACAATTTTAAGGGCCTGTTATTGGCAAATCCGTGGCTATTTTTAATTAGAATGAATTAAGTTACATAGTTAGGTAACACAAACTGGCGTTAAAACAAACCTATGAAAACTATAATAAATACTTTTTATAACTTTTTAAATTCGAATCTGATTGTCATTGTCACAGTACTTAAAGCAATAAATCAATGTTACTATCAGAATTATCTTCTTCATTCTCATATGCAACCTAATTCCAGTCTCTCTGCAAAACTTGCTTGAAATTGGAGGTGCCATCAGACCCGAATGATCACATCGAGCATTTGTATATGGCGCTCTACATAAAGAACACTGCGGCACCTAGGGCTATACAATTCATGTGGGCAATAATAAATTAATTAAAGTACAGTATTTAATTTATATTCAAAAGAAATTCAAAAGAGATAGAACCCGGAGTCCACTAATAAGATGGAACATATACAAAGACACAATATATGGTACAAACTTGCAATGAATTGTCTTCATGAACAATATATTTCATCCGAACAATTTAAATTATTAAATGTCATCTTTTAAATAAACTCTCATACGTCAAATCGGCTGAACCGGGGAGCATAGATTGAGTGTTTAGTGCAAGTACAAACAAAGGTAAAAGATTAGAATCAAATATAGAATTTAAGCTAACAAAAACAAAATATCCAAAACAAGTCTACGTTATAATTAGGCCTATATTGAAAAAAAAATGTAAACTTTTTAAAAATTCGACCAAATTCGGCCAAATATAGTTTGGCCGTGACTTTTCAAATGCTACGGCCAGACAAATTTTTATACGGCCAGATTTGAGGAATCTGGCCGTCAAAAAGGCCAAATGGCAACCCTGTGCCAGATAGTAGCTATAGGAAGGAAGAACGAGCAGCTAGCGTTTTTTGCATTACAGAATTGTAACGGTTTTTTTCCGGAAGTGCGTTATCATGCGAGCCAGGCCCTCTCGCGGCAGTATCTAAACTGCCCATGTTCATTCAAGGTAATTCAACAAAAGGACGCACATCTCGGGACATCAAAGGTTATAACTCTGGCATCGACATTCTAGGCGCACGTGCGTCCCTACACGCTGAACGTCACAAAAACCATAGCAACCAGACCATAAACCGTCAGCGTACGTGACGATTTACCCACGCGCGTGTTAGTTGCCATGTTAGTCGCGCGTCGTGCGGTGATTACAAAGGCCTAATGATATTTTGCACTAACATTAGACTGAAATATATTCTTCATTTCAACATTAATTTAACCAAAATTGTGGTGAATTGTCGTTCATGAGACTCACTTCGCAGAAAAAATTAATAAATGTTCCGTATATACTCAAATGTTCGTCCTCGGCACCTTATGCCAACATTGTCAAAATGACAGATTAATGAAACGGCCCTTAGTTTCACTGTAAATGTGGAACTACATGACACACAATTACCGTCAAAATGTGGTACCGTAGTATGTGATCATAAAGACTTATTGATCCTAACCAGGTTGGAAAATGTTAAATGTTATTATTAAAGAAAGAAAAAGAGAGAAAAAGCACAATTTGTCGGGGAGAAAAAACAAATTATATGTATTATTTTCTACATATTAGTAGACTCTAAAATCCATAAAATAAGACTTTGAAACTCCTAGATTGTCAAAATTTTCGGGGGCTTCGTCCCCTGTACCACTTTCGAAATCTTTTAATCGAAGCTCGACCACTACCACTTGCTTGCTTCAGGGAAATCTGACCCCTCGTCAGGGGAATTCCCCCCCCCCGTCGGGCAAATCCTGGCGCCACCCCTGACAAGGTTGGAAAGAATGTTAAATAATGCTGCTGCTGCTGCCGCTGCTGTTATTATTATTATTATTATTATTATTATTATTATTATTATTATTATTATTATTATTATTTTTATTATTATTATTATTAATAATAATAATAATAACAATAACAATAACAATAACAATAATAATAATAATAATTATTATTATTATTATTATTATTATTATTATTAATAATAATAATAATAAAATTACAATTAGTAATAGGGCATGTTGTTGTATAATAATAACAATAACAATATTATATTGATGATGATAACAATAATAATAATAATAAGTAAATAATATTAATAATAGTAATAATAATAATAATTAAAATATAATTAATAATCATTAATTAGTCAAGGACTAGTTTAGCTAACAAAAGTAGCCTCGCCGCATGTCTAGGCCTTGTTTGTAGTAGACCAGTAGTAATTTTAGATCTAGTTTACACCTAACAAATACACTGTAATGTTCCTTTTTTTACTTGAAAGCTGGGGCCTAGCCTATCCAATTATTAAATAGGTCTAAGCTATAAGTACAAGAATAGATAGACTTATAATAATTAATAAATACCTAAAAACGTCTAACTCTCTATGCCTATGCCTAATATTATCTACACTAGACAAGTTTTTTATACACACAGCCGATACGCGGCGCCCTACTCCATTGGCCTCCGATCATGCATTTCGGTTGATTACACGATTTTGGGCTCGCTGCTCTTTCTTTTTCTATCACGGTCGACAGGCTTCACGGCCAAACACACGCCATCTCATGGCCAAATTCGGACAAACTATATTTTAATATCGGCCAAAATTCGGCCAGATTTTAATCCGATTAGAAGACAACAGTGGGTACATAATGTTCATTTTAAATTACAAAAACCACACGAAAATCAACTGTCATTTGTTTGAAATTGAAGAATTTAAAATGATATACACAGATCAATATTTAATCTTTCACTGTTTTTGTTTTTATAATTAATCACAATCATCATAATTAATATATGTTCATTAACTAGTTGCTAGCAGGTAGGCAGATCGATTTAAATTTGATTTAAATGTATTAAATACCGTAAATTGTAGTCGATTTATAGCAATAATTTAAAACAAACTATGAAAACTTTAATAAATACTTTTTATCTAAAACTACCGTTCCCGCACGAATTAGCGCCCGGGCGCTTAACATATTTTTTGCACTTTCCGAGGGGCGCTTATTTAAACGGGGCGCTTATGAAAACAGAGTGGAAATTGAGGGGGCGCTTATGGACATAGATGAAAATCGAGGGGTTGCTATGGGAAATCATTTTAATAATTAAAAATTCAAGAGGCACTTTTTGAATGAAAAAAGGATTATATAAGGACATTACGAATGGTGGTGGTTAGAAAAGATAATCGTCCAGAGAACATGGCGCGCTCATAACAAGAATGCGTGAATATTAACATAACAGCAAAATAGCAGATGCAATTAGTGGTGGGTAGTGGTTAGCTTGTTCGCCATCGGCCGATTGAGATTAGCAAGATGGCAGGATCATTGTATTTTTCTTGAAAACTCAGATGAGAATGTGCTTAAGTTCGAAAAAAGGAAAAGAGGAGTAGGACTAGACATAGACAAATATGTAAAAAGATTAAAGTTGGAAATATACTGTCTGTCCAGGGATCGGAGCTCTCATCTGTCCAAGAGAAATATCCTTATTTTGATATTGACTGAAGAAAAATGTGTTTCCACTCTACAGCTCAAATCATGCCAATAACCACAGTCCCAGGATTGATTGGATTATTGACTTGCTAAAAAGAAAATCTTATTCAAACGAGGCCGCTTAATCAAACGGGGCGCTTATTTGCGCGAGTACGGTATCTAAACTCGCCTCTGAATAGCTGTTTATTATTGCAGTACTGTACTTAAAATAAATCAATTTCGCTGTCAGAACTCCTATCTTCTTCATGATTCTCATATACAACCTAATTTAACCTAATTAAAGAATGAAAATCATAGACTCAATCATTTATTACCGGACCGGAGAGTTATATCTTACAATCTTAGACACAGTACCGAATTTTGTTTGCCATTATGTAAAACTAAAAGAAGTAAATTATTGTATCACAAATCATGTGTTTACATGAACTGGTAAATATTGATTGCATAGCCGGAGATGTTTCTGTCCGTTTTTTATTTAGGCCTACTCTTGATGTTTTTGTTTAACTTTTGACATTTTATCGAATTTTCTTTTTTATAATCTTTTGAACGATGTTTGTCTGTTCATCTTCTATTTATTATGATTTGCAATAAAAGTTTTTCGTATTTGTATTACTCCAGAGTAACTTCAAGGAAGTCTCAGCAACATTTGCTTGAAATTGGAGGTGACATTGGACCCGAATGATCACATCGAGCATTATGGCACTTCACATAAAGAACACTGCAGTGCTTACAATTTATTTTATTTTATTCAATTCTGAACCAAAAGCTAGAAACCTCCACTAGGTTGGAACATATACAAAGATACACACTATGGTACAACTTGCAATAAACTGTCTTCATAAAGTTTTAAACAAGCATAAACTTCATAAAAATATATATTTCATCCGAACAATTTTAATTATTAAATGTAACTGCAAATCTTTTAAATATACTCTCTTACGTAAACTCGGCCAAGGGGGGGGACCATAAGTGTTTAGTGAAAGTACGATTACGAACGTTCAATGTAAGTAAAGGTACCCTTAGAATCAAAGCCTCTGTACAAAACAACATCCAAAACAAGTCTGCGTTATATTAGGCCTGTATTGAAAAAAAAAATGTAAACTTTTCACAAAATTCGGCCAAATTAGGCCATTTGGCCGTGACTTTTCAAACATTACGGCCAGGCGATTTTTTATTCGGCCAAATTTGAGAAATCTGGCAGTCAAAAAGGCCAAATGGCAACCCTAGCTGTCTTGAACTGCAGTTCAATTAGAAATTTCCTGCAGCCAGTTCTCTGGCCTCCGATTGGTCAAAATATGCACGGAGGACGCCAAACTCGCAATTGTTACTGAATCTCATTGCAGTATTTTCTGCTCTGATTGTTTGGAATTTGTTGCCCAGAAACTTGCTGCAGAAAGTTTAATATACCACCCAAACGCTTTACTAAGATGTATTTGATTCGTCGATGAATTAGATACTATACCACCATGCATGAAGAGTATTTTAGCGTATTAATGTATCACACTTGCATTTTTACACCCCAAGATAGATATATATATATATGCTTTAATGGGCTTGGTATAACAATAATTTCTTTTTATTAGCATAATGATTTGTTTTCTATGTTATGCATGCATTTTTGATGTTAAAAAAATTACATTTTTATAATTATATATACATGTATATATACAGTATATATATATTATATATATATATATATATGAAGCTCATAATCACACTTAAATTTATTTTTATTATATATATATAGAGTAAAATTCCTCATCATCACATCACCACTATAGTTAAAATGAAGCTTCAATAATTATTTACAAAATTGTACAAAACGGGTGCACAGAGCTGCTATTCCCATTTATACAGTTAATGTCAACAATTTTCAGGCATGTACTAGCCTGGGCAAAAACAAAAAAAAAGGCAGACTTGATGTTGTGGACTGTGGTAGACCAATTTGGAGGGGATCATGAAGCCCTCCTACGGAAAGCTTTTGTTTTATAGTTGCTTGAAAATGTCCTCTCCTGCCTCTGGTCAATATGATGGGGTAGGCCTAATAAAAAATATTCACAAGACAGGATTTTTGATGGAATAATTTTAATGAATATGGTATCCATTCCAATTTTGTTTGGTTTCAATTATGACCATTTTTTTTTTAATTTTGGAGACCAGTTTGAGATATTTTCTAATAATGCTAAAAAAAAAAAAGAATTATGCTAAATTTGCCAAAATTAAGCCTAGCACATGTTAGATCTGCTAAAATGGTCTAAATCACAGGTGGGTAAAGTGCAGCCCGCATGCAGCCCGACAATAATTTTTTGCAGCCTGTTACCATTTTGGCAAGAAAATACTTTGTTATGGCCAGACACCGATTATCTATAAAAAGTAAAATTAAAACTGAGAATAAGGTGGTATAAAAGCAGAAGTTTTTTGGAAGCACACACGAACATATCAAAATTTGGATGAGGCCTCAATGTTAAATCAAACATTCACTTTGGACCTCCAACCAATTTTTATAAAATACTCCCAACTAGTTCAATTTCATCTACTGTATATTATACTTTTGGATGTACCAACAGTAAGAAAAAAAATTGTGGATATTAGGTACTAAATAAATTTGAACATTGCAAAATTCTGTAGGCACTTTGGGACAATGCCCAAAGATGGTCAATTGTCAATCAGCTAGGACCTTTGAGCACATGTTGACCACAGTGTAAGATGGCATAAGATGATGAAATATTTAAAATTTTTACGAAACCAGACAAATACACAGCTGATTTTGTCAGTTTTAACTTAATAGCAATCCGTACAAAAAAAAAAACTGGGACACACTATCTTGTAAGAAATTCAGTTTTATTATGATTGAATCAGAGCAAGTACCCATAACAAAGAGATTAAAAAAAAATAACACTTGATATTCAAATTTACTTTGGATAATCAAGGAGTGAATTACAACTCCCTACCTAGTATACCGTAATGTGAATTCACATTCTATCATTGCCAAACATTGTTAAAAGAACATTCAAGTTCTGTACAAGAACATAATGAAACATAATATTCTTACAGAGGTACAAGAACATTATAAAAATACTAATAAATTTTAAAAACATTCCCATATTGGTATTTAAAGCATTCTCAAATCGCTTTGGTAATAAATATTCTTAAATTTGAAAAATACCTTTTTTTGCATGGTAATCCCAGATTTGTAAAAAAACACATGTTTGTTTTAAGACAAGAAATGAATATAAATGTATTAAAAAAAAAAAAAAAATTAAAAACCAAGATTCTAATACAAAACTAAATATGAAAAAGGTTAGCAGTACCTAAATAGATTACATCTTATCAACAAGAGTGTCTAGGACCTAAAACACAAGGTATATAAAATCAAAATTGTTTTTCACATTCCCTTTTATTAGGGAAGATTCTAGAAGTCATTGTTTCAGTTACAAGACTTGGTGGTTTTCGAAACTGTCTATTCGGGTTGTGGGGTGTAGCGAAGGTAGCCTTTTCCAGATGGCACAGACACAGTTTCAACACCTTTGGGGAAATATTTACTTTCATCTTCCTTCTTGATAGATGGCAAAACCATGCACTTTCCACCATGCTGAAAGAAAAGTTAAACAACCTAAAAAACAATTTTAATTTTTCTGGACATCAAATACAGGGGGTTGATTGGATTGGATTGGATTTATTCGGTGTAAACACCAAGGATAGCCCACGAAATTCTAGAAGACGACTTATTTCCAGTGGGGTCCTTCTAGGGGTTAATATTCAGTACACCGTTTTGAACCTACTTACCAGACCATCTACTGACTGAGCAGATGTTTGAGAATTAAATATGCTGACTAAACAATTTACGTTTTGAGTTTTTAATCAAAACAAACTAAGAATATACCTACATACACGTAGAGCGCAGTGTGACAGTAGGAAGCTATTAATTTGCGGGACGACGCGAAAATGGAATCACTCATGCGTGACGGTCCTACCAGGCTTATCCTACATTCTCTTCATACTTATAGATTTGACCAAATTGTGTCTTAGAATCCATGTGACAAGGAGAAGGTTCTCGCATGCACAAATGACTTTTAGTGACGTCATTACATTCTACATCCTACCGTCGTGCAATCAAAAGCTCCCTAGCAGATACTATGAATACTTACCGTCCAGTTAACTGGAGTTGCTACCTTCTTGGTTGCAGTGAGCTGCAAGGAATCAATCACTCGAAGAATCTCACTAGAAAGATAAACATAAAGAAATATAAATGTTTAGTTTTAGTTTAATTAATAACAGCAAGCTGACTCACTAGAGGCAGAACAACATGATGCACTATAAACAAGCCTGATGTGGCTTAGGAGGGGAGCTTTTAGCCTCAGGAATGAATCTTGGCCCACACAGGATTTGAACCCAGGACATGCACAGTAGGACTGTAAGTTTAGCATTACAACCACTACATTATGCCTGACCACGAACATAACATCATGAATAAAATATTCAGGACACTTATATTTAATAAAGTAGAACCTCAATTTTACGTACGTTATGATGTTACTTAGGCTAGACCTATTATGAACAAAACCATGTGTTTAGTGTTTTTATTCATCACTTTACGATGTCATAATATAGTGTTCAAATAAAATCATGTGTCTAGTGTATAAATTCATATCATATATTTTTTATTTAACTAAAGAACATGAAAATATTGTAAGACTACCTATACCACAAAGGTATAACTTGGGAATTCCCCTTAATGGCTATTCTATACAACAGAGCTGTGGTGTTGTCTGGGCCTGCTGAGACAAACTAAAACCATGTATGCTGGCATACGTCGAATAAGTTTGGCAAGTTTCGTATAAGTTAAGAGCACACTGAAGCACGCTGGTATACGTCCTAGTACAGAGAGTACGTCAAAAAGTTTTGTGCATGCACAAAACTTTTCAACGCATGCCAGTGTATGGCTTGCACGTTCCGCATACTTTTTATTTTTTTATTTATTCAATCTGAAGTAATAAGTAATAAGTAATATTCAAGGATAAAAACACAGAAAAGTACAAAAGGCAAATTATTTCCACTGTGGTCCCTAAATGAGAATACTAAAATTACAGAATAATAGAACAATAAGGAAACAAGACAATAAATATACATTTTCAAAACATCAGAGTCAGATTCAACCAAATTGACAACTATTATGAAGTTTAGAAAAATAGTGGTTCTTAATGATTTTTTTGAATGTGTATAAGGATTGTGCATTTTGAACATTATAAGGTAATTTATTCCATTCATCAGTAGCGGTATCGATAAATGAAAATCTACTGTGTGTACCAGATAGGCGGGCCATTAATTGTAACACGTGTTACTTGTACGTTACTCAAAAGTCAAAACGTATTTCTAACCTATGAGTAACATGCTTCTATGCAACTTATAACAAATTTTATCTCCAACGTATATACAGACGACCACACAACTTACTTTCTTTTCTAACTTACAGTTATCATATAATGGCATATTGGCAGCATTTAGGGGAATAAGTATGTTAAAATGGGGTGATGTAAATTCAGTGATGTTGATAATGTCTAGTGTGGTTATGATTTTAATCGACGAGCGGCAGCCTTTTTATAGGCTACGTCACATGATCATCGGTGATACGCTGCCACGCGCTGTGCATAAGGTAGACTATTGCTGGGCATAAGTTGTGAACGCCGGCAACACGCTAAGATTCGTTCGTGCAAGTTTTCTATTTTGAAAGTAATCAAAACGTTCTATATAAGTTAGTAATACGTTGTTTATAAGTCCAATACATTATGAATGCGCCCAAAGTTGAAAAAAAGCATCGATAGTTCAGCGTATGCCAGCATTTTAAAGAAATTTTTATACGTTTGGCATACGCTGACTAAATCATCAAGGTGTGACAGGGCCATTACATAGCAGCATGAGCTAGAAAAATACCTAAAATTTCAAGTCAGCATTTTAGATACCACTAGACCAGACTAGAAAAATCAGTCTACATAGTACCAATTACGGTTGAAATTTTGTATTACTGGTCGAAGTTGCATATAAATTGATATAATTTTGAAGCTCGAAATAGAACTAAAGTTTGTTTTATGAATACAAAGTTAAGCAGGCAATCAATAGTCACTTACTCAAAATTTCTGCCTGTCGTTGCTGGATAGAGTATAGAGAGCTTCAACTTCTTGTCGGGTCCAACGATGAATACCTTAAAATAAAACATTTTAAAGTTTGAGTATTTATCTAACATCAACTTATTTTTTATTCAGATCATGATACACATGATAAATCAATAGGCAGTGCTGAAAGCAGTTAGTACTTTTTTATTTGATTTATTTTTAGTTATTTATTTTTTCTTTATTACATCCGCTAGCTTATTTAATCTGAAATCATTTATGGGCCAGATCTCAAGTAGGCTGCTAATTGACAAATCCTGGTTTATTCATTAATTTCAAATGGGTTGCATGATTCCGATGGAAGAACTGGTGCCTTTCAAACATATTGGCATAGGCTGAGCGCACACATCCTCCTCCCACCCCAAAACAGCAGCAAATTAGCACCACTAAATGGGTTACAACAATGAAAATAACCATTATGTTTTCATTGGAATAGGGATTTAGTTCCGCATTATCTACTTCATCTTAAGCCCCCACCGGACTGGTCTAGTTCCCCCATTGGGCAGTCATTCCACAAAAAATATATAAATATGCCCACACCAAGCCAACACATGTCTGTCACAGTCTGAGAGTGCCATTTATGTAAGGCCACCCAGAGGTTGCTATTCTTTAAAAAAAAATCCCATTTGGGAGGGGGAACCCTCTTTCAACCCCTTCCCTTAGCTTGGGCATACGATCTAAAGTCACCCTGTTGGAAAGCTTAGCCACCAGAAAAGACATCAGAGAGCCACCACTGGGCACACTCACCACCCCTCAGAACGAAACCAGCATACTTCTCCGAACTGATTGAAATATCTTGCATTCCCTAGACATGTAACCCAAATCCATCCTCCGATTTTTGTTTCAGGAATATTTGTGTAACAGTGTATGGTACTTACACATCGTGCTGTAAGTGGAAGTCCGGCCTTGTCTTTCTCTTCAGGGTCCAACATACCAAATTTGATCGCCAGTTCACGATTCTTGTCTGCAATAATTGGGTATGGCCAGTCGCCTGCCTCTCCAGAACTATCCTTGATGTCCTGTGGAAGAAAATAGGAAATCATTGATGAAAATCTATTCAAATATAAGTTCATTAGTCCACCACTCTTTATAACATGCCAAGGGTGGATTGTTATAAAACAATGGAGCATTTTAATAGCTGGTCCAGACTTCATCACCCAGGTAGAAACATATCATGCATGTATGTAATGACAAATCAAATGAATCCGAATCTAGTACTGAAAGGCAAAACATTTACTGTACAGTAACAAATATTTTTATTGGTAAATGCAAAATTTTAAAAACATGTTAAAAGTGCTTTATGTTCCGAAGCAGCTGCATAGTGTTCTCTCAAACCCATTTTAGCCATCAATTCTCCAGTAAAAATGTGTGTTGGTAGAATAAAAAAGTACATATTAGGCCTGCAGGTAGCCTAGGCTGGACTTCTTTCAATAAATGAACATCATTTTAGTCCAGGTCTAGGCTATGATTATATGTATTGTTTTTTTGAAGCCATTGAACTCCACTTAAAAGAGGTAATACCTCACATTTCGTGTGCATGCTTAGCTGGCTTTATATGGACAAAATTTACCCGTAAAATTTTTCACTGGAAGTCAATTAAAAGGGTGTGGTCTGAAGGTCGAATTAACTGTATCTAAAGTTGGGGGCCTGTTATACTTCATGAGGGAGCCATTCTAAAATAAGGTGCAGGTGCACATTTGTGAGCAGTAAAATTTGAAAGGTTGGTCTAAAGTGCATTAAGATAAATTTTGTCAGCTGTACATCAAAGAGTGGAGTTGTATAGGATGATTCTAACCAAAGGTCAACATGTTCAATTCCTGTAATAACAGAATTTTTCTTATGACTGAAAACTCCACTCACCAAGCAACCATTGTGGTCAGTTACAGAGTCACATGACAAAGCAATCATCTTGACGCCACGCTTTTTGAACTCTGGTGCCTGCTTGGCCGCCATTCCAAGCTCAGTGGTACATACTGGCGTGTAGTCAGCTGGATGGGAAAACAGGATACCCCATCTGGAACAAATGTAAAAAGTGCCATAAAGGTTACAGTACCGTAAATTTTTCAGGATTGTTTTTATTCATTTATTCATGAGTCCCAAGTCTGCTGGAAATTGGGACAGCCTCCCGCACTCCCGTAAGCAAGAATCTCCCAGAAAGAAATCCATCTCCCACAAATTCATAATAATTTGCATGTTTTTTTAACTAATTTATTATTACCTGCAGGGGCGGATTCAGAGGGGTGGCGGCCCGGCCCCGGCCCCCCCTTTTGGGAGGTTAAAAAAAAGGGGAAAAAATAAAAAAAGAAAGAAAAAAATGATAGGCCACAATGCCTCAAATGCTATTTTCAGGCGTCTAGAACACAAAAATTTTGCCTGGGACATTGTTGTCTCGATCGGCCCAAATTTCGGCCACCCCTTTTGGACATCTCTGGATCAGCCCCTGAACTGTCTCACGGAAGTCATTGCCAATGGGTACCCCCCATGCACAGAAAAGTAGATTAAATTTGTTAAGAAAGCTCACTCAACCAGATCTCCCAGAAAGGATTTCTTCCAGTCTGTGACTCGTTTGCCAAAAATAAATGAGTAGCCTGGATGAGCTAGTTACCCGGCTAAAAATTTTACAATAATGCTACAGTTTAGAGTACATATTATACTAACTGAATAACATTGCAATGTTGGCATCTTCTCACAAATTAACCACAACATTCGAGCATGATATAATAATATTTTGTGTTTGTCATATCATATAGTTTACATTAATTACATTCAATGTATACCTAAACTTGTTTCTCTTAAATTCAAAATAAACAACTTGTGTCGAATTATGGCGGCTAAGTTTATGTCCCCGAGCTAAGTCAAGATGTGAAGGCAGAAGACAAATTTGCACTGAACATCACATTTTAAATTCTTTGTTATTTTATTTATTCTGGCTAACAGTACGACACACACAAATAAAAAGACAAAGAAGGAGGGCGGCGAGGGATGCTGGGGAGGGGCAAAAGTTGTACAAAAACTACCATCAGAGATATGGTGTGCCCCTCTTCCTAAACATTAAACATCAATTCTAAAAATAGCTACAAAAATATAAGATTATTACTATATACATATATGTATATATATATATATACACTCATATAATATAAATTATCAAAGGTACATATACAGTGTTTAATAAGGACATGATGGAACATCGTAGGATACACACACACATATATATATATATGTATATATAGATATCTATCGTATACCATATATATATGTATATATATACACACACACACATATATATATATATACTTCATATATCTCTTTTTGTTTCATTTATTGTTGCATTATTTATGATTCTGAACTTTGCCACTGCTTCTTTTGAATTGTTTACTTGTTTTGTGCTTGGGTTAGGCAATGATCACAGCTGCTTGTGGGTTGTGAGGTGCCTAAGTGTGTGAGGTGCCTAAGTATGTGAGGGCAGCACTTCATATCTGCAAAGAAAGGTGCTTTATATGACCTGATTGGATTGGATTGGATATAAAAATTCAAATATACAAAATAAATAAAAAAATCACAGAATTTTGCAAAAATCAACATATTATAATATTCAAAAAATTATGAAGTATTATCTCAATAACAATTGAACCTCATAAGCCAGAAACAAGTAAAAAGATACAAAATAATTAACGTTAAATTTTAACCATTAAAAATTAATTATAAAAATAGCGATAAAAATACTAGATCATTATTTTTCAAATTTAAATATAAAAATATTATCAAAAATCAGACGATTGCAAAATCGACATATTATATTCTAAAAAGCAATTACCGTACTGACGTGGGTATATGCCTCATATATTTGGCCTCATTTTCATGCAAAATGAGGCACTCAGGTATAATCCCACACAATAATTTGAAGATTTGAGTGCAGTATAAATCTTGATGCAATTTTGTGTCAGTTAATTAATAATTAACAAATCAAAGCCTAAGCCTGACAATCATGCTGTTCCATCCTCCTTTACCACAAAACCCTACTTATCCACGAAAACTCGGGAAATCAAACCAGGGTCTCTTATCATAGCTAATTATACTCTAATTATCAGGAAAGCTAGACCGCGATACGTTTACTATAAAAAGAAAAAAAAAATCTATTTTGTTGAAAATCATATGAAATATGTTAACATTTGTCTTTAGCAGAAAAAACTGTCCTACCTACGAGTTCGAATCATAAAAAACGAGCCCTTTTACGAGAAGTTACAAAAGTACAGGGCTATTACACTGGGCCTAGCCTAGGCCGACTTGGTATAGGCGCCGTCGTACGACGACATGAAGTTTCTGAAAAAGGCGGATGAATATATTGGTTTGAACGTGATTCACTTTGAATCCATTTATTAGTAATATTTTTATTGATGAAAGTTAGTGTGTAAAATATTTAGAAACTACTTTAAATGTACGAATCGTATAATATATAATTGTTTGTTGTAAATAAAAATAATACAACGGTAATCGGGAACTATTTTGCCAGCGTAATGACAGTAAAACTTCAGCATTAAATAATAAAAGAGCGCTTGGTTTGATCGTGTTGTCATATGTGAATTTGTAAACAGTGGTTGACAGTACTGAGAGATGAAAAAAATTAGGTCGGCAAAAATTTGCCGACCTTAAATTCTCAGAGGTCGGCAGCCTCAGCAATTTTTTACTACCTAGGCCTATAGTATTAACTATGATTTTTCCGAACGCTCGAACTTACATATCCATGCATGCCCAGAATGATCAATCAGGGATTTCCCACATGTACTTGTTAGTAGTGAAGTCACGACTCACGATATGATCGTGATTGCATTTAAACGGACAGTAGGATTAGGCCTACAATTATGTTGTTTTTAGATAATAAACAACATTTTAAATATGACAATAATACTGTAAAATGAAGACAAATAATAGATTTAGTCAAGCATCTACGCGGTCCACGTGGCTTCAATTTGATGATGTTGTAGGCCTTTGTTGACTAGGCCTAGTGTCATTCCTACCTAGGCCTAGCCTACGAAACGACTAGGCGAGAAAGACAAGACGATTGTACACAAATCGTACGTACTGCATGCCTATTATAAATAGTTATTGTACAAACAAATCTGTTTTATGAACCACCAATTTCCTTGGTTTGACAACATTTTATTAGCAGAGGGAGGTACACCCTGTCTCTTATACACATCTAGATGTGTATAAGAGACAGATACAGACCTAGGCCCTCCCTAACACCTAAGCCTAGAGACTTAAGGTAAACTTAGGCATAGAAAGATTTGGCGCTGCAGTTGAACTATTTTAAAAATACAGATTTGTATTGTTTTACGACATTCTTTTAGATACTAATAATCCCTGCAGTAGTTAAATAAATCACTACCCTACTCCCCACCGAGTGTGATATATTCAGTAAGACAAAGTTGTATGTATGCATGTATGTATGTATGTATGTGTGTATGTGTGTATGTGTGTGTGTGGGGGTGTGTGTCTGTGTGTGTGTGTGTTTTGGAAATAAAAGCTTGAAAATTAAAAAAATATATTGCACCTAGATCGTCAGGAGATCGTGCCAGTAGCAGATCTGGGGGAGTGAATAGGGTGGATAGCCACTTCCCTTCGGTGACCTAAAAAAAAATATAGTCACTCATCTTGTGTGTGTGCTTCTCATGTATACACATGTTACATGTAGTACTAAGCTACTCTCGTAAAACATACACTTTATATTTTAAGCTTATACTTCTTTTCAGATGTCACCCAAGAGCGTCTAGCTGTCTACTAATTCCAAAAAATCTCAAATGAAAGGGGATGCCTCTCCCTAAACCCATGATCAAGGAGGGACACATCCCAGAATATTGTTAAGGAGTGGGGGTTGGTCCCTTACTTTTCGACTGCAATGTTATAATTTTATAAGTCAAGTCTGCTCACAAACATCTGAGTGAGTAAGTATAAAAAAAGCGTGAAATAATAATAATAAGATTGGTTTTTGGCACATGGTAAAGGGAATTAAAAATACATCAATGACAACCGAGTTTTATTTAAAATTGTACATCACAGCGATTAATTTGATCGATGATGATGAATTTTATTATAAAAGAGTGTCATTTCCAGTAATCTAGAGGTACCATTTCCCCAATGTTCTCACCTAGCCCTTGTTTGGACTAATGGCTTTGAAGTAGGCAGGCCTACATTAAGTACATCACAGAAAATAATATTTATTTTCTATAGTACATCACATATTAATTAGATATCTATGGTTGCCAAAAATCGCTGGTAAAACATCACAAGAAATGTGTTGGCACTTCATTTTTACTACAGGTATATAATGGTGATGTGATGACGATGAATTTTACTATATATGTGTGTCATTTCCGGTCATCTAGAGCTACTATTTCCTAAAATTTTTTTGGTTGGGCCTGAGGTGGGCTCACAAATTGTCACCCCCTCACCTTTTTGAAACAGAGCTGCGCCCTTGTCAAAACCATGCCCCCACCCCGCTTGGTGCTTGCCAAATTGCATTATCCACCCCCATTGCTGAATCCTAGATCTGTCACTGTATGCACCGTTCCATACTTTGCAAATGCTTTTAATTGTGTTTTAATTTGACAATTAAAAGTTCAATAAAATTCATCATAAATACTTTACTTTTATGCCTACCACCTTAAAAAAGAAATTATAAAAATTAACTCCTTTTTTCTAATAGAGTATGATTTATGCTACTGGAATATTTTTTGTGTAATACAAATAAAGGAAATTGCCCTGTCATTTTTTTATGTATACGATTTTAATTCACATAAGACATTCCCAACCACTACCCCCTCCCCAAATTCAAAAAATTATACACAGTTGAATCAAAACGAACTAGTTGGTCTCAAAATCCAGACACTGTTTCGTTGTACAGTACAGTATACAGTATAGTATAATGCAATTCATTGGAAAAGCTTTAAAATTGAATTTTTAAAATAAGTTAATACATATATACTAATATTTTGCGAATCTTGGGATTTTTAAAGCAATCTTGGGGTTTTTAAAGACTAAATCTTGGAAATTTTTATTTTTCCCAGTGGTCACACTGATCAGATGTAGATGGCGTCAGAGGAGGGGGAGTAGGGATATACTGTCAAAAGCCAATCGTCTTTAAAGCCATGAGCCCACAACACCCTCAGCACCACGGTTGGGGCTGAGGTGAGAAAATTTAGGAAATACCAGTAGTACTTGGAAATGACACGTTTATATACCAAAATCATCATCACATTACCATTATATAGTCATTGAAGCGCCAACAACTTTCTCATCTTTTAGGCCCCATAAACAAATTATTAGTTTATCACCCCCTTCCTCATCACTTTTGGGGAAATTATGATTTTCTTTTTTTTTTTCTTTTTTCAATCAACATATATTTTTATTTTAAATGGTCATTTTTCCATTTTTTTCATTTGAAAAGCTCAGGATTTCTTGCAAATATGTTTACTGATACAACAAAAACATATACCTGTCCCTAACCACTGATTTACTTGTGAACATTGGTATAATGGGGGGCGGGGTTAGCAAAGAAAAAAAAACCTCCTCCCTCCTTCATCAGTTTTTATTGTTTGATAATTTAGGGCTTCAATTCGAGGTTTTACAGTATCTGCCAGAGCCCCGGACATTTTGTATCTTTTAAGTGCATCTTTTCAGATATTTTACTCAATTATTCCCACATGGCCAATTTGGGTGACTGGCAAAAAAGCAGATCAATATCCTGAGGCCATTTTAGGTCCGGACTCCTTAGCCAGTGAGTACTCATAGGCCGGGTGTTACATTATTGTTTGGGTCACGTCCCATGGTTTGTGGACCGCTGGAGTAAAAGTCAAATACAAAACATACAAGAAAAGCACTTAAATTACTGGTACAGCATATTTTATTCCACAAGCTTAAATTTCTACCATTAGCTTCTCCAGGTGATGTAGTATTACAATATTCATAATCTTAATTTAGTAATTATAATAAATTATATTAAGTTATTATTAAGTAATATTAAGGCTTTGAAATATTGGCCGCTAGAACACCTACTCTAATTTATAGTGATGATGCACTTCAATGCTAACATTAAAATTAGACAATTTGGGGTTCTGTAATATTTACTTTGTTATTTTTCATCTGATACAGTCAATGGAACAGTAAATACCTTTGAATTTAATTAAAAAGAAAAAATCCCTAATCTAACCACATCCTTTTCATAACACTTTACAAGGACATTTGGGCAAGGTACACTACTACTATACTGCCATTTAGAGTGGACCGGATGGCAGAGTACCAAAAATAGTCCTAAATGTCTCGGTTTGATTCCAGCAGAAGCCCATATTTTCTTAGCTATCTTCACTGTGATTTTGGCAGTTCCATTATAAAAGAATTTTTACAAGATAAGATAATATCATCACCATGGTTGTCATACTTTGATCATTAAAATATTGATAATGTGCCATTATTATTAAATAATTGTAATTTCCAAATTGGTCAAATGGTTCTAGATCTGGAGAACACTAAAGACAATAAAGACTTTTACACAAACACTTTGATCATTAAAATATTGATAATGTGCCATTATTATTAAATAATTGTAATTTCCAAATTGGTCAAATGGTTCTAGATCTGGAGAACACTAAAGACAATAAAGACTTTTACACAAACACATTTTATCATTGCATAGGAGACAATAATTATTTCAGTATACTACTGTATTCTAAGTATGTACGTATCATCAGGTGCGGATACAGTGCTCAAACTTACTATCGCACAGAACTCACATGATCATCCAGCGTTGCAGTTATTTTAGGCCAATTTTATCAACTTCTACCTTTCGCCCTGAACTTCACCTCGGCAAACAGTGTGAAAATCTGGATCCGCACCTAATTATGATCAACATAATTAAAATATAATACATAAAAGAATTTCAAATTCATAATATTATTATTATCATAATTCATCTATTGCACTTTTATAGAAAATAACTTGTCTAATATTTTGGCATGTTTCTATGGGTAACCAGAAATAGCAGACAACAAGAGCTTGAAGATAACCAATCAGCAATCCACAGGCAACATCACTGAAATGATGGCGTCCTAAAATCACCCTTGACAATGCGATGCACAAGGACCATGAAGTGGCTGCTAGGCTTGGTAACCATGCTGGGTCAAGGGTCAGAATGTAGATCCAAGTAACCATGCCAGCACGTGTGCAGTGTCCAGATGGAAAGGAGAAGTTGTCCACAGCAATTGTGAGAAACATGTCATCTACATTTACTGGCGGGCGAGGGCGACGAACGATTCCTTTGACAGTTCCAACAACAGCCAGATCAAAAAACATTGCTGTGAAATTTGTTAAAACAGATTTATTTTATATTATCATTTCGTACTGAATATATATTAAAATGCAAACTTTTGGATTATTAGCATGCATTTTTCTAATGTGCCTGGTACATTTGTGGGAAATGGTTTAGGCTCACAGTTCCCTCCTGTCAATTATGCCCATTACATATTTCAGCCATACAGATTTTTGCTTTAAATATTTGATGAAATATAATGTTTATACTGTGTTGAAATATAACATTCAAATACAGCATACAGTAATCTGACTTGCACAGGAAAATAAGGTTGTAGCCAACAGTCGGATGATAAATGTGAGCAAGTCTTGGTCCGATGAGTAAGACAACTGAAATATCTGTATGCCCTTTTCTTCACATTAGGAGCAGTACATTAGTTATGTTGGTTAAGCATAAAAAATGACCTTTTTAAATGTAACCATACTGTTGTAACCTTCCAGGCAATAATGTATACAGGTACACTATATTGTTAAAATACTAGAAATTGCAAATTGCAAGTGAAGTGCTGCGAAGTACAACTGCATATAAATGTTGTTTGAACAAAATTATTTATGCGAGTCAAGTGAAAATAATGAATAATAAAAATATAACAAATAATATGAGACACGACCCAATATCTCTATTACAACACTTCTCATTGGGTAACAAAGTCGTAATTTTTCATTTTTGTCAAAAAGTGTCTATAGTGGTGTTTCAAAAATTTCTATGTATGTGGAAAATGTAGTTGATTACCAAAGGTTACAATTTTTATTTTGAAGACTGCATGGTCTAGAAAGCTGTACATTTTTTTATGGGGAAAGTTTCCAAGAGCGGGTTTTCTAGGGGCGAGTTGACTGCCAAAGAGCAAGCATAAAGTGTTGCCAAAGTGCGAGCCAGCATGTTATTTGATCACAAGTGCGAGACATCGCAAGTGTGAGCCAGCGAGCCATGACATCACGACAATAGATAGAGACGTTAACGAGTTGTGCGAGGTATCGGCTGAGATTTGTGGAGTACAATTCAAAAAACAACTATAGGTCATGAATTATAGTGAATAAATAGATAATGTTAGCTATCAAAGAGCGACGTTGTTTTTCATTGGGACCTTCGTCCCTTCAAGGCTAGGCCTATACCATCCTAGCTAGTCTAGGCCTAGACAGCGCGAACATGCAGGCGTTGGTACGAGTAGGTTAGTCTACAAACGTCGCCTAAAGTAATTGATTTTATCCGGCAGAACGAAAGAAGGAAACTCCGCTTTTCAGTCGTCTTAGGCCCTTGTTTTTTGACAAACAATGACCTCTTCAGAGGTCAAATTGCTGTCAAGAATATGAATTGGCTGCTTCGCAGCAATAATGGCTACATTGTAAAGGGCCATACAATCTGTATTGTTTACTTCAGTATAAAACAGATTGTGGATTTACACAATTTAGTAAAAGAATAATAGACAATACAACCACACAGGGCAAGAGGTGCTACCGATCCCTTTTCTAAATACAGTAAGTCGCAGATGCTCTGACTCTCACAAGACAATACAAGAACTAGCCAGTAACATATGGACAAGTCAAATGAACATTTATTTCCTCAGAATTGCAATAGGCTATGTGTGTGTATTGTTACATGCATATTATCTGCATGCATAATTGCTTTAAATACATTGTCATTTGCAACGATTCACCGATTATGTATCGGTGATATCGTTCTGTGTATAAATTGATCGAGGACATTTTACAGAAAACAATCACATCATTTGGAATTCCACTGCTATTCCACTCTTATGCTAAGTGCAATATATAAAATATTTTAATTATGTATAATCATAATTAACATATTTTATATGTTAATTTTAATTATGCATAATCATAAGCACAGCTGATATAAAGTATTCAAAACTCTGCCAAAGTACATTTCAACCTGTGAGTGTGTGAAAATAGACCAACCAAAAAGTTATAGAAAGAATAATATAGATTTTGCCTCGTCTATTATGCCAATTTTAACACTTGACATGACTTTTGAATCCAACACAGGAAAATACTTATTAATTATTGTACTCTACAGTCAGTAAGTTCATGTTTCAGCTCAGAAAGGAACACTTAGTACAAATAAGAAGTATTGAAACTTTCAATATACATATAACATGAAAGAGAAACACTAATAACTGTGTATAATGACCTACATACTGTATCATAATAAGTTTATCTGCTTTAAGGCCCGTCTGCATCCGAGACTTGTATTGTGGGGATATGCAGGTGGTGACAGGGACCAATGAGAAGATTTTGACCC